GCGATACCTTATGCTGCAGGAGGGGGGTGGGGAACCGAGAAAAGAAGCTCAAGAACTGAGTCACCTCCTCACTGCACCGCAGCGTCTGGGGTCAGCCTGCCTTTGTGATTTCTTACTTCATTGTAGTATAAGGAATAAAGTACTATCACTGATTAAACTGTGCGTGCACAAGGGCACGGGTGTTGTCTGTTCTGCTTCTTGTACTGCTCTCCAGGGACAGGGAGGGCCCAGCGCATGGTGGGTGCTGAAGGAGTAGTTGTGGTATCCGTGGACAGACAGCGAAGGGAGGTTCACGAGGCAGCCAGCTGTGTCCAGGAGGCTTCTGACCACATCTGCCTGACTGTCCACTGAGTAGTTAAGTGGGCGCCACAGAAGGGCACAGTGCCTTAAGCCAGCACCTACTGGTAGAGATCAGATACTCGTCGCTCAGTATAAGTATCAGCGCACCAGATGAAGTCTATATGTTTAGTTCCGTTTTACAGCTGGGACATAACACGACGTAAAGAAACTTATCAAAGACCACGTAGTCCAACACGTGGCAGAACTTGGATCTGACCCAGGCGGTCTGATACATTGAGAGGGATTTCCAAACAGTCAGTTCGTCATAATTTCTCTCATTTCTTTAATTTGAAATGCGATTTGATTTTCCTCATCTTTCATCAGTTTCCTGAGAACAGAAATTAGGAAAATTCAAGCACAACTTTTATGCAGTATGAACTTTGCAAGGATGCAGTTGAAAAAGTGTAAGGTATCATTGAGTAATCGCCAATAACAGAGTGGAAATCAGGGCTTAGTTAAGTCCAGCCATTTGGGGTGAGTGATGCTTCTTTCAATCTGACACTCCACATCCGACCTAGGGCATAAATGTTGCCAATTATGATTCGTCTAGATCTCTCCTTAGACTGAGGCCACACCCTCCAGATTCAGCATGCTGCCTCTCACCTAAAATAATATTTATGGAATAAATATCTACAGCTTGAAATAAGTCAGTGGAGAGAACAAACTTCCTTGAATTTCATGGAATTGACATTTTAGCAGGATAGAGACAGGACATAAACAGTAAGCCGTGATGTGTGAGGGCAGGTGGTGTGGCAATGTAAGGAAAGGTGTATAGGGAGGGATGTGGGGTGCAGGGTGGAGGCAGGCAGGTTGCAGTCATAAAGGGGAGGTCGGGGGGGGGGCTGTTGAGATCATGGCCTCTGAACACCGACCTTTGGAAGCTAAGACAAGCCCAGGCAGGGGGTGTGGGGGGAGCAGAGCATTCTAGTTTGAGAGGACAGCACCTTGGTGCTGAGCTGGGATCACGCCAGGCTTGTGTGGGGAATAACAAGGAGGTCATCTATGGGGGAGCAGAATGGCAAGGTTGGAGGCAACCAGCCATCCCCATGGATGGGGTAGGGGAGATGCACTAATAGGAAGAGTCAAGGATGAACCAAGTTTGGAATCTATATCCCTTCGTCATGATTTCCTTCTTAGTTCTGACACGACTGGATAGTCCCAAAGATTGGCATAAGTCTTTGGCCATCTGGCCATTACATTTGCATGTGTTCCTTAATATGTTTGGGTGGGTGTGGATGGTTTCTGCTGTAACATGAGGGACCCACTCAGGTTATGTATGACATAAACCCTTCTATGATTGTTTCTGGACGATTCCTTTCTGGAAGCCATGTTCTGATAGCTTGCTTGTTTCCTTCCCTCCTTTATTTATTCATTGTGACTTTTTAAAAAATATTTGTTGCCACACAGGCACTTTCTGGAACCGGATAGGGGGATACCAAGGCAGTAGAAAAGACTGTCTGCTGTGGTTTGCAGTCTTTCTGCTAAGACTAGCTAAGAAGGTGACAAGAATGGTCAGAACTAGGGGATGTTGTGTCTAGCAAAGCACAAACAATGCTGAGAACAAGAACTTAGGAGATGCCAAGTGGATGCAAAGTTAAGGCCACAGTGCCTGAAAGCGCATCCATAGTTGCGAAGCACCAGAAATTCAGGCTTGGGAAGCTGAAAAATGTGTGGGGAGGTGGAGAGCAGGGAAAAATGCTCCGTAGAGTGGGTGGTGGTTGTTAGGGGGAGCTCACTTGGCAGGAGACTGGCTGGTGGGGAACCCAGGGCCAGGGCATCCGGGTCCCAGTGGGGTGGCACATTTGCAGGTTCGGAAGACCACAAAGTTGCTGCTGGAAGACACCCCGGCGGGTGCTCTGTGCACAAACTGGAGCTGGGTTGGGGGTGGGGGGCGGGTAGAGGGGTGGACATGTTGGTGGGGAGCAGCTCCAGAGACCGGTGAGTCTCTTACGGGTCCCGACCCTGAAGTCGCTGGCCGCCTCCTTTCCTAGGGCAAGTTCTGGGCTTTGAGGGCATTCATTGGACAAGATCTCTTAGAAAGAAAAAAAAATATTGGAATAAGTCTATTTCTATATCGTTGATCCAAATTTTAGAACTGATCTCTATGTCTACTTGCAGAATTTTCAGTGAGGCATTTTTCAAAATGTCAGGTATGACGAACTGTGGTTTTGTCTGGGAGCCATCCAGAAACAAAGAACACCCCCAAGTGAGGCCGACGGCCAGCTTCCTTTCCCTGCACCCCACCGTGGCTGTGGGGTGTGCGCTCGTCTGTGCTGCCCGCTGGCGGACGGTGTGGGTCAGCTGGGTGTGGGTGCCAGCCCGGTCACCCCGACAAAGCCTCTCATTCATCTACTCCTTCCTTTCTGATGGTGTTTCATAATGTGTTGATATTTCCAGGCTAATCTTGCACAACTGTTGAGAGATTCTCAGGATCGAAATAAACAGCTGGGAGAAGAAATTAAAGAACTTCAGCAAAGGCTTGGAGAAGTCCAGGGCGACAATAAGGTATCGTGAATATTAAAAGGGAAAAGCTGTAATGCGTAATTGTGCGAGGGAGGTTATGTATGGCACATCGGAAAAATGGAACGCCGGTTTGCTGAGAAATTTGTTATAGATTTTTACATTTGCAATGAAAATTCAGTTTAGCATTTCTTATCTTTATTACAGTCCTTTGTGTGTGTGTGTGCACGGGGATGTGTTTCTGGGTTGCTCTAAAATATTGTTACAACCCATTGTAGGAGCTTCATTATGTTCAGCTTGGTGGTGAATAACACTGTGGTTGAGGGCAAAATAAAACCCAAATGCTACCCTTTCTCTCCTTCTATACAAATAATGGATTTGTGGCTCAGATGATTTGGAATTATTCACATTCGGTTTTGAATTTTAAGTAGTCATCCTACTAATTATGTTCACATAACCAATTTATTTTATTGCTAAATTTGGCAATTTGTATGGAACATTGCTCAAAATCCACTGCTTGGTATTAATCAAACTCCCCTGTTGGCAACGTTAATTATAAAATATGAACTCATAAACTCCAAACTAAATGTGTGCACTCTCTCCCAGCTGAAGCTTTGAACAAAAGTACAATTCAGAAAAGGAAGAAAAACGGCCAAAGCTTAATTCTGCCCCCCCCATCCTATTCCCCTTTTGCCAAGATAAATTTCCACAACAGAGATGACCACTGGACTCTGAATCCAGAAAAACACGGGTTGGGGAGCAAACATTTTCTTGGAAACGTCTTTTAAACATTGCCAAGTTCTTTGACATATAATGGTGACATTTCTGGGAGTTGTTGGTTATTGGGAGGCGCCATTTTGAAAGATGCTCACTCCAGAAAAAAAATGCGTGAAAGTGTTAGGTTATCCAGAGAGTTTCCTAGCATGAAGTCAGAGGGCCTCGCTGACACTGATGGCTCAAGAAGGCCCATCAGGGGGCATTTAATAGCCCTTGAAAAGAAGCTTTAGACCTCTTGGATGTAACATGTATTATTGACTCTTTCATTTCCAGACGCGAAATAGGAAGTGGGTGAGAAGGCCTCAGAGGGTTCTAATTAGCCAGTACAAGCTAGTCAGACCTCCGGAGGGGCTGTATGTACCATTCCAAGATCTAAGTGCTGTCACCTCGGCATTCGGTCAGTAATTCCAGGCCAGACCTGAGTCACTTCCACAAGAGATAACAGCAGGACAAGGTTTTCCAGAGAATAAGATGAGGTGTTGCAGGAGTTTCTTTTAAACCCACAGAACTACTACAGGAACTTTGTAGACAGGTTAAGCCCACAAAATTCTGAAGCATTTTAAGATGTCAGTTTTGGATTCCTCCTTCTTCTTGACTGATTTTTTTTTCCTTAGTTGATTTCCTTTCTTCTCTTTTTAGAGCTGCTATCCCCACCCCCAACATTTCTAAGTCCATGTTAACTTGATTTTTTAGTTACTTGATTGTAATCCTTTTAAGCTTGAGATATTTTAGAGGTTGATATTTGCAACTTATATTTCAAGGGAAGAATGGCAGGCATGTGTGTGTCTTTGTGTGTCTGTCAGAGAGTGAACTTGAGTGTGTATAATGTGTGAATGAGAGACTGGAGACTGCCCAAGAGTATGTGCGTGCGTGTGAGCCTCATTGTGAGTACAGGATGGTGCGTGTGTGGGAGCAACAGAAGGTGAGTGTGTATGTGCTAGTGAGAGTGAGCACGTGTGATTCCACACAGGAATCCACACGTGTGTGTGTGTAACACCGAGCTGGATCTGGGTGCCGCCACACTCCGCACTTCGTGATTTGTTCTCACTTTGGTTTTTATTGAAGTCACTGAACATGCTTGTCAAACTTTCTTTCTCACCCAAGGTTTAGAAGTCAGTGGCTCACATTCATGGCCTGGCAAGCAATTGCCTGCCAAGAGGTGCGAGCAAGATGTACTAATACTCAGCAGATCCGTATCTCAGGATCCACACCCTGCCTCAAAAAGACCAGCGGCAGTGAGCCCCCAGAAGATCCATGTATTCTCATTTGCATCTGAGCTTCTCGGGCTGCTTATTTTCAGCCCCCGTGAGTCACAGCCCTCCTCTCCTAGCCCTCCCCAGCCATCACCGTGAAGGCCGATTACTCATTCGATAAAGATAGAAAAGTCTTGAGAAACTCGGCGGTTGGTCCATGCCCGAAGGTGGCTGAAGGGTTAACTCTGCTTTTCCCGTTCTTCAGTGAGCACTGCTCCAGCCATTCCAGCATCTTCTGGGCCCACCTCCTAGCCCTGGTGCGCTAGACCCTCCGTCATTTGGCCCGGTTGTGTTCTCTAGCACATCCCCATTGTTACAGGGTAGCCCAGAGTGGACTGGGCCGCCTGTCTGTGGGGCCTCACCCGCGTGCTCACAATTCGGTTATACTGCAGGCACACACAAAAGGGTCAATAACGGGTTTATTTACAAAAGGGGAAAGGAAAAGGAAACAACCCAGGGAAAGAGAGCGGGATACAACGTAAGTGGAATACATTACGGCTACGTTGACTGAACACACCGAGTCACGTGGCCCGGAGAGCTGCTTCCCAAGCAAGAGTGTGAGATGCACTCCTGCCCTGTTTATCCCCCAAATGTCCCAGAATTCCTTCTAGCTCCGCCCTGGGGTCCTGCATTTCTCTCCCTGGTACTGCTGGGAGTTGTAGTTTCCAATCACTGGAGTAGTGTGTAGGGTCCAGAAAGCTGGAGTAGGGGGTGGAGTCCATTAGACTCTGCAGAGTTCCTTTAGACATCCTTCCCCTTATCAGTATCACTGGTCGCTGTGGCTCCAGCCTGCGTGGGGTTGCAGCCCCTTTGCTGAGCTGTCCTGCCTGGTGCCCCAGCCTTGGCACCTGCTGTTGCTCTGTCTGGACCACACTTTCCCTTTCCGTCCCCTGCAAACTCTGCTTGTGTTTCGGTCATAGGTCAAAGGTAGACTTCTCAGGCTCTGCGAGGCAGGAGAGGCAGGTCCCACGCATGCCCACTGCACCCCACACCTTCCCCTGGCGGGGCTGGTGTGGCACCTGCATCCCCAGGGTAAAGCTGCTTGCGTGCTGCATTCCTGACTGGGGTGTTCCTGTGGTCCTAGGAAGTAGGACATCTTTATTTCCTGACACATGGACATCATTTAAGATATCTTTATCGGAAGAATGGAATGGAATAAATGAGTGAGAGACAGAATGAACAAATGGGAACGAAAAGCAAAGCAAAAGGGCTCAAGGGTGAGGAGGAGAAAAAGGAAATAGGACAAAGAATATGCAGCTCTTGGAATTATGACAATTCACTGAACATCGATTGTTGCTAACCCTCCGAGGCGTGCGCTGACCGCTACGTTCGCCCGGACATAGGAGAACGTTTGGGCGAACAACGTTTGGGCGAACGTAGGAGACTTAGAGCCGCGAATTAATGAAGTAGGAGCCTGGGGTTTGGAGTCTTTGCAATCTGTTTATTAGGACCGCCCATGGGATATATAGGGTCTGTTTGTGCAGGAAAAAACAGGAAATGTGCCCGACACAGGGAGTGGGGTGCATGTTTGTACCAGACCTGGGGCTTCTTATAGCTTCTACTTGAAACAAAGTCGTGGGCTGCAGCTGTTTGCAGGACAGAGTGCACTGTGCTCTGCTGGCTTGTTTGTTGGCCTCACTGGGAGTGTGCTCACCCATGCACAACATTAGTCAGGGCGGACAGGTGCACTTGAGGACCTGCAGAGTTAGCCACAATCGATACCACAAAATAGCCCAGACGACACTGAATGAAATGACACTGTGCAGGCATCTGGCTTTGTTTCACGTCATTGTTATTTCGCTAAATTCACTGTACCCAGGAGCTGATGAACTATGTTAGGCAAAGATTTACTGTCCCAGAAATCTGTGGCCTCACCACCTTGTGCTGGCCACTGGTAATTCTCTTCGTGGGGTGAGGAGTAATTTAGAAATTTGGAGAACGATGCTTGAGAAACAGACGGGCCCCCAGAGAAAAACCAAAGCAAACCAAACTCCAGGGGTGAGACCTTGGAGGCCCCTGGGGGGTGTGCCGAGGGCCGTGACCTGCCTTGGTAGTCCCTCCGCCTTGTCCTGCTCTCGGCTGCCCGCCTGCCGCCTTGGTGACGTTTCGCAGCTGGCCGCTGGCTGCCACTTCCGTCCTCACAGCAAGCTGACGGCGTCGTTTGATGAGTAACTCAACGTGGGAGGTTTTTATCTTCATGTTGCCATTTTAACTGATGACCCTGATCGTCTTTTGGGAAGCCCAGATTCTAGATGTTAAGTACATTTAAGGAACAAGGTGATAGGAAATGACTCGCCTTGAATATTTTCAGGTAGACTAATTTTTCCATTTGTTCAGCTAGAGCCCTGTAACCCTATGTGCCATAAAGCATTTTCAAACAGTCTCTTGAAAGATTTGCTGCCACCCCTGCTTACAAACAGCTTTGCCCTCACAGGGGGGTTTTGGAGGTTGGGAGCATAGTCAAGTGTGATCTGCCTTCTCCCTGTACAGGGTCCAAGGATTTTTCAACCAGATAAACTGACACCAACCCCTGAGAGGAGCACAAAGGGAAACCCGCCAGAGTGCTCACCTCCCTCCATAATTATAGTTGTGAAAGGTTAGTTGTTATACTTGAGAAAGTGTGGGGGAGGGGCACCTCTCATCCCCCACATCACAGCCCCTGGCTCTCTGTGTCTCCATTTGTGAGGAATAAGGACCTATTATGTGGAAAGCCCCAGGCAATGCTGGGACCTCAAGTCTGAGAAGCAGCCACTAGGAGAATAGCAACCCCCTTCCTGCTGAGCGGTCTGCTTGCTGCCTTTTCTGGGTGTTAAAAAAGAATGACTTTGCCCTCTCTGGTGGCGCAGTGGGTTAAAGCACAGCACTAAGAAGCTTAAGCCACTTCAGCATGAATTCGATCCCCGCCTGCCCCGGAGGTGACCACATGGCGAGGCAGACCTCTCCTGCTCCCCTCAGCATTGTACTTCGTTGATCTGCCTGTTCTGCCCCCCACTCTGTCTCTGGTGAATCCACTCA